GATCCAGAGTCTCATACTACGCACATCAGAAATGTCTTGCAGAGACTGAGGGAGAATAAGCTTTTTGCCAAATTGGAAAAGTGTGCATTTGATATATGTCATTTAGACTATTTGGGGTTTAGGATCTCAACAGAGGGGCTACAAATGGATCCTGCCAAGTGCAAACAGTGTTGTCATGGCATTCCCCACCCCCTGTAATGTGAAAGACGTGCAGCGCTTCCTGGGGTTTGCTAACTTCTACAGAAAGTTCATTCCTAATTTTGCTGACAGGGTTAAGCCTCTCTCATAGCTTTTAAAGAAAGGAAAGAAATTTGCTTGGACAGTACAGGAGCAACTGGCATTTCAGGAGTTAAAACAGCTCTTTGCTTCTCAGCCCCGCCTCCATCACCCCATCCCTGGAGGCAGTTTGTCCTCCAGACTGAGCTTCAGATGCTGTGGTCAAGCGGTACTTCTACAGGCCAAGAAAAGAGAGGGAGGTTAATTGCTTCTTTTACATGCTGTCACTGCAGAGAAAAACTGATATATTTAATAAGGAGTTGCTAGCAATCAAGGCAGCCTTCCAGGAATGGAGGCAATGGCTGAAAGGGGGCAAAATTTCCCATACAGGTTTGCACGGACCACAAGAACTTGGAGCTAATGCAGAATACACAGTCACTCACCCCCAACAGATAAGATGGAGCTAATTTTTCTCCCGTTTTGACTTCTACATAACGTATGTGCCTGGTTCCGGAAACCTGCTACCAGATGTGCTCTCCTGTAAACTGGAATATTTAACAGCTCAACAACCACCACCTGCACTGCAATCTTGCAACCCCACAATTTTAGGCACCACAGCAAGGATTACAGCCCTGAGAAGTTGGGAGTGGGTCGACAGGCTGAAGACCTCTTTGCATGCATAAAGACACAGCAACTGCAGGACCCATATGCGAGGGCCTGAATGGATGACCTCCAGGGGTCCAACAAGGTTCTATTTCCCCTTTTTCAGTGGAAGGGGGGCAACTTTGGCATAAGGGTTCACTGTATGTTCCCCTACCATTGTGGGAGGAGGTATTGCAGCTTTGCCACGACAATGAGGCAGCTGGCCATGGGGGAGTTTTTAAAACACTCCACAGGACTCTAAGAGAGTATTGGTGGCCAAAGATGGGTGCAGACATTAAAGACTATGTTGCATCTTGCCACATGTGCAGACGAGCTAAACCTGTTTATGGGAAGCCGGCTGGGCTCTTGCAGCCATTAGATGCCCCCCTCAGCCATGGGATATGGTGTCAATGGACCATCACTGATCTACCCCTGATGCAAGGATATACATCGATACTAGTAGTTGTAGTCCTATTTACAAAAATGGCACATTTCATACCATGCAAAGGGTTACCCACAGCACAGGCTACTGCACAGCTCTTTTTAGATCACGTATTTAGGTACAGAGGAACAGTTAACCACATAATAACAGATAGAGGAAGTCACTTCTCTTCCAAGTTCTGGACGGCCCTTTTCCAGTTACTAAAGGTGCAGATTCACTTGTCTTCCGTCCACCACCCTTCCACAAATGGTGAAGTGGAGAGGACTAACCAGGTATTGCAGCAGTATTTAAGGTGTTACAGCACATACAGCCAAGACAACTGGACCTCACTCCTTCCTTTAGCAGAATTCGTATATAATAATTCAGTGCAGTCATTGATTGGAATGTCACCATTTCAAGCACTGTATGGAGTACACCCATGAGTTTTGCCAACAACCATACAGCAAGGATGCAGCAGGATTTCTCAGAGAGCAACAGGCAGCTCAGGAGCTATTGAAAGAGTAACTGCTAAAGGCGAAGGCAGCATACAAGAAAGCAGCAGATGCACGCAGGCAAAGTAGGCCAGTGATTTCAGAAGGAGACAAAGTATGGCTTTCTACTAGGTTCTTAACTTCCACTAGGCCATCTAGGAAATTAGACTCTAAATCTGTGGGGCCTTTCACTGTCATTTGGCAAGTGAACCCAGTAGCTTTCTGTTTGCAACTGCCAGCTTCAATGAAAGCCTATCCTGTCTTTCATCACTCCTTGCTAGTCAAGGAAGCAGCCTCAAAGTGCCTTGAGGTCCCAGGCCACCCCCACCAGTCATAGTCAAAGGGGAATACGAAGTAGAGGCAATCTTGGACTCACAAAGGAGAGGGAAGGGAATTCAATATTTAACTCATTGGAAGGGGTACCCAGAGGCAGAGTGTTTGTGGGAGAATGCAAGGAATGTGCGTGCTCCTGTATTGGTCCACAACTTTCATCAGCATTTCCCTAACAAGCCAAGGCCTCACAAGCTATCCCAATCTCCCCACACTCAAGAACAAGCAGAGGAGGTCCTGAGTGAACAGGTGGAGGGTTTGGTAGGGGCCCTGGGGCAGGAAAGTGCTGAGACAGAAATTGCTTGGCCTTTGACTTCTGGCATCCAACTCCCAGGGGTGAGGGGGGCTGGTCTTCCTAACTCTACATCTGTTTTGCAGGAGGAGCCGCCTGATGTGGAGGAATCGTCAAGGAACTCAGAGGGAAGCACCACACTTGCACTTTCATCTCTACCACAGCTGCCCAGTTCCCCTGAGAACTCGGAGGGGGAGTCTGACTCTGAAGGGGTGATGTGATGGAATGTATCTACGAGGAGAAGAGTGATGTGGGAGATCAAGGCTATCAGGAAGGAGGGGTGCATTCCAGGAGGGAGGAGGAGGCAAGAGGCAGTTGAGTCCACAACAGGAGTGTGAGAAACGAAAGAGGTTCAGGATAACCACTCCCTAGTATCCCCCAGGGTATATCCACTAGTTGCTGTAGTATAGATTTAGTTTGGCAAGATTCTGTCTATAAGGTGTAAGCTAATAAAGGAACTGGACTGGACTGGACTGGACTGTTTCACCACTGCTCTTGGGCTGGGCCTGACAGCCCTTGAGGACACGCTGGGATGGGGAGTGGGGGTGCAGTTTTCCTCATGGTCCGCAGCTCCCTTTGTTCACCCTCCTCCCAGCAAAGTAGCAGGCAGTTCTGTGGATCAGCAGAGGAAGAGGAGGATGAGTGAATTTTGATGTTCCCTGCCAGCTTCCCACAAAGTCAGTGGGGAAGCCAGTGGGAAGTCGGAAGTCAGTCCTGCTCCCACTGCTTTTTTGCCCACCTGTGGTTGTTCTGTTTCTCTGTTTAGGTAAAGAAATATCTCTGAAAGGATGACCCAACGAGTGAGGAGTTGACTAGTTTCATCTGAATCTGTGCTTTCCTGCTCAACGGCTGGTCTGTTGCTTACCATATCTCACTTCTGAATCCAACTCTTCTTGTAATTTCAGGTTTCTCCATTTCTCCAACTTTGGCATTGGTGGTACTGCATCCTTTCTAAATGCACCGAGTACTTCTTACAATTTGCTATAGAATTCTTCAGTGTTTTTGACCACCGCATTTGCTACAGTTGTAGTAAGTGCATACCTTTTTCTTACACTGATGTTCACTGAATATCCACTAATTCTAACAGGCAGCGTATGGTTTACTGGGGTATGTATACAATGTCCTTTATGAGTTTCATTGCTATCCACTCCATTTCTTTATTTGGTGTCATCCTCTAAACCACATGATCATTTGGTTTAAAGTGTCTGCTCCAGTCCATCTAAATATACTTATTTATAAATCATCCAGTTTAGTGCCCTTCATTTCCTCTTTGAAAATTTAATTTTCTCCTTGTCTCATGCTTCCCATGTAGCATGTCCAAAGTGTATGTAATATTGTAACTGTTTGTAAAATGAAGATCTCTGTAAAGAAGATTTCATCTTTGTTTTATCAAGAACTAAGCCTTGCAGTCTATATTAACCATCTTTCCACTGATCAGGGTTTTTGGTACATTCACCTTCATAAAAATAAAAATTTAATGGTGAAGACATTGTAATTCTGCATGTAGCCTACAGCAGAACAATACCATTTGAGTTGCCTAATAGTCTGTTCTGTGGCAGAAACTCATGATGCCACAATTTACAGGTAGTCTTGGATGGTAGTGTCATATGTAATCAAAGACCTTGTTGCTGAATGACTCATAAAGCAGATTCTTCTGGCTGCACACGTAGCTGCATCACAGTAAATGTGCCAAAGGTTTTCCAGTGTTACCTGTTCCCTCCAGCACAGGATGCTCAATTAAGAACTCTGTTCAAAGATATGACCTCAAAAACACTCTCATTATATCCTGAAATTACATCTATGTTTAATGTAATTATTGTCAGAGGTGCAAAGGGATAATAGTAGTGATTGGGCAGACAGGATTCCTGTGTCATGTGCAGGATTATGATAGAAGCATGGTATTTCAAGATCATGGCTCACTCATGTTTCTGAAAATAAAACAAAAGAAAACAAGGATCTTCACATATGAAGAGGGAGTTTCTTCTCCCGAACCCCAGCCCTCCTGTGACTGATGAAAGAGAAGAGAGGAATTTTGAGCATCAGAGTTAGTGCCAGAGAGAGAGATTCCCATGGCACTATTGCACTGTTAGGACGGAGCTGTACTGTTTCCTAGCCAACAATGCAAAATACTACATTTCTGATTGTTTTAAATATTAAACATTGCAATATTTTAAACTCATGTGTGCTAGGAGTGGGAAGATCTTTCTTCCTCTTGAGTTCTACTCACATTCGTCAAGTATGTTTGGCACAGAAAATAATTTGTTTCAGACCCTAGATGATGATGATATTAAATATATATGCTGCCCGACTGCCAGCGACTATGGGTGGCATATAAATTTAATAAATTATTCTATTCTATTAGGATCCATTCCTGTGCTTTCCCCATCCTCGCCCCACCCAAGTTTGCCTGCTTTTCTTGACCCTGCCTACATAGTTCCAGAAGACCAGCTCAGCCTACACGTGCTCCATATGGATCATCCCCACCCCTCCAGCCATATCCTTTGTACTGAATATTCCATTCGTATTCCTGTCATTTTGCAGCACCACGCCCATAGCACCTTGAGCATCCAATCAACTACAAGAAAGCTTTGGTTAACAACCAATCAGCATGGCCCGAGATGAAGTGCTGAAAAAGCAAAGCAACAAAAGCGTGCTGAGTAAAAAACAGTTCTCCAGAAATAAAGAAGGTGAAGAAGAGACTTACCAGTTGCACCCAGAACCAGCCAGGCAAAAAGAAGCAGAAGTACAGGCTGAGGAATACAACTACTGCAATGGAAAAAGGTACCAAAGAAGAATATAGGCTGGAAGCAAATCCCTTATTTTCCTCTTAAGGCTGAGATGGCGATCTGCTTTCTTATAGAGCTTTTGAAGTTCCTCTCTCTTCATGCCCAGGCAG